TACTATACACCTAAAACGCTTAGCCTTCCACTGCTGGCACCACTTGCCCACTGTCACCATCACTTCGTTCAAGCATGGAACAGATGCTCAACAACCATTCACAGAAACAAAGAACGCTTCATTCACTGTAGAGCCAAAAACTTCATCTCTTCTACCACCGGTTACCGAACATTTTGGTCACTTGCCAAAGCAACTTCCCGTAATTTCTGTCCTTCCAGCTTCCCCCTCCCCCCCCCTCACTATCTGTAATACCGCTGGTGACCTTGTATGTCAACCACACAACAAAGCTGAGGCTTTTGCTTCCCAATTTACCAACAACTCCACCTTAGCTAATTACCCCACTCCACTACCATTTTCCGATTTCATTGGCAACTTTTTTCTACCACATATTAGCACTAGAGATATCCGCCAGACATTGTGCTGTCTAAACGCGAACAAAACACCTGTTCCGGAGGTTATTCCATCCATCATTCTCAAAATGTGTGCTCCCAAGCTGGTACCTATGTTACATCGTCAAGCTTTGCCAAGCTTTCCCCTCAACTTTCTACTTTTACAACCCGTGGGAAACGTCGTGATTTTCCTCATTCCCAAACGCGTCAACCTTTCTCAACTCAACAATTACTAACCCCTTTTTCCTCACATCTCCTCTTTCGAAAGTAGTTGAAACCATCAACTCCGACCAAATACGCGTGGACCACCGAACGACCGCCAGTATGTCTTCCCGCATCTTCGTTCTACCGGTGACCTGCTGGCTCTTGTCTCACAATCCCGATTGGCTGCACTCGATAACCATGGAGAATCAGACTTGGTTTCGCTTGATACCTCATAGGCCTTTGACCGAGTTTGGCACGAAGGTCTACTGGCAAAACTCTCCACGTTCGGGTTCCCTTGGGCTCTCATTGCGTAGATGTCAAGTTTCCTCAGTATGTCAACCGTCTCTGTCTGAGTAGATGGGGTTCTATCTCAGCGGTCACCTATGGATTCTGACCTTCCTCAATGTTCAGTACTTGCGCCCATCCTCTTTATTGTTGTCCTTATCGTTTTACATCTTTTTTATTCATTGAATACACAAGTGTACGGTCAACTTTCAGGAAGAGAGCTGCGGCCATACAAAGGCTGCCTGCGGAAAATACAGAAATTTATCAATGATCTCCTACCTAAAACCGTCAACCCAATCCATTCTTTTTCCGACGATTTCACTCTCCACTGCTCTCCCACCTACCGCGCTACTTGCCACACCCAAACCAAAATCGATCGTGACCGTAGTGCGGTAAATGTCACTGGACTCCGATCTTGAACAGATCTCCTCCCGGGGTAATGTTAACCATATTTCACTCAATGCTTCCAAAACACCCTTTCTTTCAACATCTCTAAAACACCATTCATTCGTCCTACCCCCTTCCACTTATCTTTGGATTCCACCAACCGCGATCCACAACCTCTGTTTGTCTTCTTGGATTGCCTATAAATTCTTCCTTACGCTGATCCTCTTTCATATTTCAGCTTGCTTCTCGTGCTGCGCGCCAAGTTATTTTTTATTCCGCGCCGGACGCTTCTACACCCCAGCTCATCTTCGTCTACTGGGCACCGCTCAAATCCGCCCTGGTCTTGAATACTGCAGTCACTTGTGGAGTTCGGCTTCGTCTTCTCTTTTTCATCCTAATCGTATATATATATATATAC